AGAGGGTTCTCCTCAGGATCTGTGACATCCCCTATCTGTTCCTTTCTTTGGACTCCTGAAATAACTATTCATATTTGAGTCACTCTCATTTGACTTTCCACGTCCTACCGTGAAAACTTAAACTTTGAAATCTTGAAGACTAATACCTCTGATTATTATCGAGAGTTTTATCAAGTGACCCTAGTCATTTGAGATGTAATTAACTATAGAGGCTTACTTTTATAGGGAACTTGAAACCCAGGTAAAATAAAACATATTTAATCTTTGTATTAGATAGAGGAACTTGTCGGTCATACACAAATGGTTCGCAGACCAAACAGATGTCACAAATCTCTTAGTTTGCAGAATTGGGTCTATCGCCGAGGTCTATACTTATCTTTCGGGAGGGTGTAGTATTCGCGGTATCGGACATGATTACGCAAATTATTAAACGAATGAGATCTATTTGGTCTCATTTTTTGAAAATTAAAACATACTACTTTCAAAACCCGAACTATATATCTATTATATTAAGTTAAATTTTAAAAATTATTTTCATATTCATATTTTCAAATAATCGAAAAGTTGACCGACAGCCACCCATATCTTTCATATCACTTTTAATATGCTGCTACGTTCAACTTCAAAACGTGAAATACACATTTTCATATATATGTTAAGCGATCTATATTTAAAAATTGAAATTTGTGCTAGATATTTATATACATAAAATTTAATAGGCATGATTGTAAATATTTCTTAAATTTTATATAAGAATATATGTTTTTAATTTTAATCTTAAAAATATTTTTTCAGAAATGTATAATTCATTAATGTAAGGGATGTGTGTCATGCGCGTGTCCTATGCATATCATCTTTTTTTAATATTATTTAAATCGAACATTGCTATGTCATGTGTGACACGTGTCTGTGTTGGTGTCCATGTTCGTATACGTTACGTGTCTGAAATGACTTGGCTTCGTAATTAGAAATGTACATGCATCATATGTGTAATAATTGAAATTTTTAAATAAATAAAATAAGCATATAATAATAATAATAATAAATCGAATAGACAATTATGTTATGCATCCATTGAGTTGTGACCTAAGAGTCATATCCCTCATTCGAACCAATCGAACAGAACAAGTAAGGAGAGACACTGGGGGAGATCGAGAAATAGAGAGAGCAAGAGAAAAGAAACGAAGAAGGGAGGAAGTTTTGTTTCTAGCCCTAAATTTTTAGCTTGTCTGTGAGAGAAGAAGCAGTAGGAGTAACAACGGTGAAGGAGAGGAAATAATAAGAAGAAGACAAGGAGAAATGATACGAGTGTATCTCTACCTGTTTCGACGCCACCCTTGTTGATAGGAAACTATGCAGTGTGAAAAAGTAGAAGAAGAGTACTCGCGTGTAGTGGAAGAGGAGGAAGTAGAAGACCGCATAGGCTGTGTTGGATTGCACTGTGCAAAGGAGAAGGAGACGGATCTGAGACATTGTGTCGCGTGCGGGAAGGAAACAATCGAGGTTTAAGGTAAGTTAAATAGATCTAATTAGTTATATATATATATATCATGCTCACGCTCACGCTCACGCTCTGCTAGGGTTTCGCCATGGCGATCTCTGATTATTACTCCATTGCTTCTCTACTTCTCTTCGTCGTCGACTTCGTTTCTTCTCGTGCGTCTCTGCTCGCCCGTCGGGTTGTGTTGGTTGCGCTGCTCCTACGTCGTCCTCGGGCTCGAACTGATCGCAGGGGCTTCGCCGCTCCTGCTCGTTTCAGGTTTTCGCTCCTTCCTTTGCTCTGAGATCGCAGGAGGCTATGAGATCGTAGGGGCTTCCGCTCCTGCTCCCTGTTTCGAGCTTCCGCTCTCTGCTCTTCTACGCCGCACCTCCATGGCTTCTGACTGATCGTATGCAGCTGCAGTTGGGGGAGTCCACGCCTCAGATACACCTAAATCGTGCTCTTTCCCTTCTTTCCCTTTTTCATTTGAGTGGACAGAGGAAATCAAGAAATATGGTAAGAAGAATGGGAAACCTGTCATTTGTTTTACAGAAGCTGAATGTATTCAACTTGCTTCCTCCTCTCAAATGAATTTGTTCAAGAAATTTTTGTATGGTCATCCTAAAATGGAGTTGATTCGTAAGAAATTTGAGCTTATGCACCTTATTGGGCAGTGAAAAATTGGACTGTTAAATGGAACACACATTTTTATACAACTAAATAATAAAGAAGATTACACCCGCTTATTTGCTCGAAGGATAAACTGGATTGATAACAGATCAATGAAGATCCTGAAATGGTCTGTGGATTTTGATCTTTTATAATTAGAAAGCTTGAAGAATGCTGATAAATTATTGGGCTTTGAGAAAGAGATGAATCAAGACATTTAAAGAGGGATAGTGTAAATATTTACATGTTTTATGCATTAATTATTTAATTTAATTTAATTAAAGGTGGTGTTAACTTCATATCGACAATTTCCATGAATTAATTTTAGTTATTTTAATTTATCAAACAGTTCAATTAAGGAAAGATAGAGAGGTCGAAGTGCTACGGGAAGTAAAGTGAAGGGTGGGTATTTTAGAGGTTTTTTAAATATAATTGTGAGTAATCATTTACTTTTATGTATTAAATTAATATTTTCTTAAATGAATAATTATTTTATTAAATGGTCTAAATTAAATATTTTTTTAATATATTGCATTTTAAAAGTTTGAAACATGTCTCATAAATGGGAGGAAAATAACTGACTTATGAATGCATTTTTTAAAAGATTTTAAGCTGGTATGTAAGGAAATATAAATATTCAAATCATACAAGATTACTCCAGTTTGCACTAGCAAGGGATGTCATGTACCCTTAGACGTTAAAAAAAAAAAAAAAAGGTAAATGTGTACTTTCGGGTGTAAAGTTTTAGAGTACATTGGGGCATATTTTTTATGATGCATTCGAGTATGACAGGAATCCTATTGAAACGAGGATAGATAAAATTAAACTTAAAACTTATATTGTTATAGAGTAATGAACTATATTTCTTTTGATTTTTCATGCATAGTATTGTCATAAAAAAATTAAAGTATATTAAGATTATAATTGCTCACTAAGTCAAATTTTTTTTTGAAATTAATGATTTTTTTTAGGAAAAAAAATGTAGGTTGATACGTTTGACATGAGAGACTTAGTTTACATGAGAACTGCAATTGATAGGGATCATGTTATGATTTGTTTGTAATCTCTTTTTGCAATGTTTTCTTGTGGATAATGACATTGTGCTGTGTGAATTTAGATATTTTACTTGAAGATTATTCTGCTACTATTTGATGGCTTAAATTTCCTCGTGTATTTTTGAATTTTAAGTTGCTCTTTTATATTTTGGATGTTTCAGAAAAATATATGGAAAGAAAATGAAATTGCCATATGAACACAGTTCCTGACTTTAGTTAATTCTCAAATATCAGACCGAGTTGCGACATTTAGTGCCATGGTGCCATACATGAGTCCCAGTCTCATGCATAGAAGGGGAGTGGGAAGTAAATGAAGTTCTCGGTTTTGTGTCTGCTGTCTGCATTGGAGAGGGTGTGTGAGATGTCTGTTGCAAGGAGATGAAAAAAGGTGACATAGCTGGTGAGTTTGCTGCATGAGACCACAAGAAATGCTCTGGTAACTTGTTAAAATTAATTTGGGAGAATGAGGATGAGTCCGGTGTGTGTTATGCAGAATTGGTAGTTTAGGTCTTATTGCTTTTTTCTTTTCTTATTTTTTTGGCAGCTTAGAATGGATGGATCTCGCCTTTGGCTAGGATGGGGGAAGGGTTCGTGGGTATGAATGTGGGATTCGACGGGTATTGGGGAAGTGATCTTGATTGGTTTGATTTTGATTTTAGAGGAAGGATCAGAATAAAAATAAGAATGAAAATAAGAATAATAATAATAAAAGTAATAGGAAAATTAATATTATAAAAAAGAATATTTGAAGTACTCTCATAAATTATCTTGGCACTTGTGCGTCCATTTACGTGTATTACCTCACGTGCAACAAAAAATTGTATTTTAAATTTGTACAAGAACTCAAGCAATATGAATGTCTTCTAGGTAATTTTGACAATTCTGACATATTGAGACTTTCTATTTGCGAATGAAATTTTGGCATGATGTCAATTGAAGTATTTCAATTCTGATTTGCACAACGCAACGTTGATAATCCTTCGCTGTCATCATTTTTTATTGAATTGATCATAGAAGGTCCTTTTAAGGAGATATCAACGCTCTGGGTTTATCGGCATAATCCATTTTACAAATAGATAATATTTGGGCAGTTGTGCTGACTGTGTAGCATCCTGGTTCTGATTTGCTTGAAGTTCACCGTACTAATTGTGATTTATTGATAGACTGAAAGGATCATTTTTTAGATAATTTCAACTCATTGGATGTGTCGGCGAACACCGACACTTTGATTGATTTTGAGATTGAGATCGAGGCAGTTTGAATCTAGTTTGTGTGGCATTGTGTTTGTTATCCGTTATTTTTCCATGTTCGATCTGATTTTCCTATAGAGCATAAATGGATGTCTACAAATATATGATTGGTTTGTAGGAATGCAGGCATTATAAACAGTGTAATTAAATATATAGCTTGCCATAAGCCCAACCCTAGATACTTGGTTTCTAAGAAAGCCTAGGCATTTATTCTTGGGTTGTGACGGACCCAATTGAGATGCTTGGCTTCCTAAACATTTAATATGTGGATTTTCCCCATCCTAACCGACCCGATTCACACACTTTGAAATTTCCAGCTTGGTTTTATAAAATTTTATCTATTGTCAAACACACTTCTGGGAGTTTTGACATTATTTTATTGAATTGGTATTTTGTGGTTAACACAATTTTCGTAGCTTTGTTGAAGTCAAAGTAGGAATCTTATTGAAATAACATATAAGCTTCGTCATGCCTTCTTCCTGAAGTTTTGTTTCTTATTAATGCCGGTTTTCTTCTATTTGCAATAATTCTCATTTCTTTTCTCAGGATGGTATCAGACGTGAAGTGCAAACCATGAGGCTAATTGATCATCCAAATGTAGTGAAGGCATATTGCTCTTTTCCAGCTGGTCACCAACTCTGGGTTGTGATGCCTTACATGGCTGGTGGTTCTTGCCTTCATATAATGAAATTTGCTCACCCTGAGGGCTTTGAGGAACCTGTTATTGCTACTCTTTTACGTGAGGTTCTTAAAGCTCTTGTTTATTTTCACAGCGAAGGGCACATACATAGAGATGTCAAGGTATTTCATCATATATTAGCACAATACTTACGTATGCATCGAAAATCAGATATTATTTTGCCAAGCCCAACAAAAACACCAATTCTAGGCTCAATCTTTTGCAATATTTACAGTGCCTTTTAAAACGTCTGTTGTTTGCATGTGTGATAGCTTCAGCGTGTTAACAAGCTTTTGTACTTTCGCCTTTTTTGAGAAACTCCCTGCTTTTGACCAATCAGAGTGCTTTACTTATTAACGTGTTTTGATATGCGGCCTTTTGCTTTTTTTGAATAATCAGCCTTTATAATCCATCTCAAATCTGAAAATTTCTGAAGCTTCCAGATCTGATGGACTAACATGATCAACCGAACTTGAATCAGCTGGAGATGGTGAGGTGCTTACTATGTGTAACTGGAGCTGAGCTAGCTTTTGTAAAATCTGCTTGCTTTGGTTGACATGTTTCTTGATCGTAGATATTTTAAATGAAGAAAATCTGATGTAGCTGAAGAGAATGAAAAAGTATATATATGAAAAGAAAAAGAAGATCTAACCTAGCAAAATAAAGAAGTGTGTGATAATAGTGATGATTTACTCACCTAAAATTATGAGGACTCACTAATTTCTTCTTAGAGTACTCTCATTTGGATTAGTAGATTCTTACCCATTCAATTAACTGAAAAGATCATGGGTTAAGCGACCTAAAACTAATGGTGCTGACACAGGAGCTTGGGTCGTGGCATTATAGCTGCTACAGTATTGTGGACGCAGTACTGTAACAACTATAGTACCGCGGTCCCCTTTTCCTATTTGATCCCTTACCTTTTCTATTTTCTTCTTTGTTCTAATTCCTTCATATTCTAATTACCAGTACTTATTATTAATATGTTATATGTTGACTTAGGGTTAGTTTTTGGTGAGTTTTATTTCATATTTCTGTCAGGACAGCCGCCAGTGTCCGTTTTCCCTATCGAGGCCTTTATCTCTCTCTCGTAATGGTGATTATTTTTCTTTTATCTCCATTCATATTCTTCTTCGTCACTCTCAGTTGCTGCAACCGGCCTTAACAACCTTTCGTTAGCTGTTTTCTGCCCCCTCAGCTTGCCAATCACCTTCCACTTCCTTTCAGCTTTGCTGCCGCCTAAACCGCACCTCCTCTTTGTTGTGCCAGCCTTCCCACTGTGCCGCTGCTGCCCAGGAGAACAAGGAACACCTCCCTTCTACTGTCCCAGCCATCACCCAAGACAACCTCCATACTTGCAGTCTTTGCATTTTTGCCCTTCCCCGTCACTGCCACCATCCATATCGATCCACCTAACCTACCTCCATTCTCCTGGGATATGCTTTAGGGGTGTTTGCTTATGTCATTTTATGTTATTACTTATTTTCTATTTGAATAGTCTTCGTTGTGGCCCTATTTGAATTCAACAATAATATTTCTATTTCTATTGAGATTTGAGTTAACTCCGACATCATTTGGTATCGGAGTTAGGCTAACCCTAGTTCTATCTTAGGATTTCCTAGCATCTGTCTCTACCCAAGTTACCTCCACTAAAATTTTTTTCCTATTCCCAAACCCTAGCCAAAGTTTGACCAACCCTAGTTTTCTCTTGGTAATTTTCAAAAGCAGCTATCCAAAATTAATTTTCCCACACCTTCAATAAGTGTCCTATTCCTTTTTCACCTCGCAACCCTAAATCCTAGCATGCCACCAAGGAGATATATGCAGGAGAGCCTACACGGAAAGTGATATAACGAGAGATCCGCCGACTTCAGCGGAGACTTGTGGATATTGATGATGAAACTTAGGGGAAAATTACCCTTGTCCTAGAACTAGAGAATCGAAGGGAAGCAAGTGATGAGGTTTGAATCCCTCCCATAGGGGGAACATTAGTGATGCAGAAGACCGACCACAACGCTTTGGAATCCAGTATCAGAGGAGGCTGAGAGAAGAGCCAGCATGTGGAGTATGGGAGAATCTGAAGAAGAAGCGGGAGATCCAACGTTAGTTTCTTCCAGCTTAAGTAGAGAAACAACTTCACTGGGCGACCGCCACGTCTTTCCTACGGCACTCAATCTCAAGGTCTTACAGATAGATTACATTGTGGAGAATATCCAAGATGACTCCGTCGGAAGAAAAGTTGAGCCATAGTGAAGGACTGGTGGAACCAATCTACATCCCTAAATCTGTCCCAGCTAATAAGTGTTGCAAGGGCCATAGATTTGGGCATGTTGAACCAGATTGTACAATCAGGGGGTGATCTGTTTCATGGAGCAGAGCATTCTTGAAAAATTGTGTGATAATATAGTAAACACTGAAGACAGTAGAGACGGAGAGGAGTTCTGGCGAAGCAAATTCAAAGAGGAATTAGGGCTTTGGTGACTCGGGTTTTGCCTTTTGGGAACTGAACTAAAGAGGCATACAAAGGTTGGATAGGTAGTTTTTGCCTGTTTTTTGTGTGTGATAGGAAAAGGGGAAGTGGGCTATCTGTGTGGCTTTGTGTTCGAATTGAAATGAATAGGAAGAGCTCACACAAATAATTAGCGTATAGAGATTGTGGGTAAGTGGTAATGGTTGCTGGTTTTTTTTTAACTATTTTGATTATTGTTTCTTTCTTTTTCTCATTTCTACGGTCAACAAAAAATGATGCTTGAAGATGGGAGATTGTGTGACTGAATCTTTATTTTATTGCTTTGCCTCAAAATTAAATGAAAGTCTATACATAAATCGACTGAGAAATAAGTATTAAGGAAAAAAAAATTAATATGATAATGTATATTTAGTTATGGAGTCTATGCTTTATTTCTCAGCAGAAATGGTATACAACTATCCATACATTGTTGCACTGTTGTAAATGGGAAAGTGCTATCCACAAATTGCTAGCTTATTTTCACGGAATGCTACCATCCTCGAATTATTGGATTGCTGTGAATGGAAAGCTAATGTCCACAAGTTTTTGAGCTTTTATAGATGGAATAGTGTTAGCTATAGATTCACATTATCTTAACAAATTTTAACGTTGGGGCACCTCAAATTGAGACACAAAGAAAATTTGAACATAAGACTCACTATTTGCATGTCTGAGGTGAATGTACACCTTGGACATAACCTCGAGGCATTCAAGGTAGCACCTATTTGCAAAAAATTATATTATACTATATTATATTAAGTATAAATATACAATGCCTCGAGAAATTCAAAAGATAATTTATGTTAATTTTTTATTAATGATACCGTTATAAGGCTTCTAAAAGATATTTGGGACGCTGTTTTGGAGGGGAGTTGGTTGTGGAATCGCAAAGGAAATGTAATATGCGAGTTCAACAACATTTGGAGTGAATAACGGGGATAAAGTTGTTGTTGAACAGCGGGTTTGACATTGTTGGCGAACATCCCAGCTGGATATAGCGGAGAAAACTTGGAATCGGCGACATTTGAGTGGCGAAGAGGTTCTACCACCTGTTCCTAAGCCGGCTATAGATACATTACTCACAAAAGAAAGATGTTATAACAATTTGGAGAGCAAAATTTAGAGACTGAAGTAATGTTTCCCAATTCATAAAATCAGAAATATTGAAATCCTAAACAATCAACTACAACATATATATGGCGCAGGAAAGATAATATGCGAGTTCAACAACATTTGGAGTAAATAACGGGGATAAATTTGTTGTTGAACAGCAGGTTTGACATTTTTGGCGAACATCCCAGCTGGATATAGCAGAGAAAACTTGGAATCGGCGACGATAGGGTGACGAGGAAGTTCTACCACCTGTTCCTAAGTAGGCTGTAGATACATCACTCACAAAAGGAAGATGTTATGACAATCTGGAGAGCAAAATTTAGAGATTGATGTAATGTTTCCCAATTCATAAAATCAGAAAAATTGAAATCCTAAACAACCTACTACAACATATATTTTGCAAGGGAAAGGTAATGTGCGAGTTAAATAGCATTTGGAGTGAATAACGGGGATAAATTTGTTGTTGAACAGCAGGTTTGACATTTTTGGGGAACATCCCATCTGGATATAGCAGAGAAAACTTGGAATCGACGACCTTAGGGTGACGAGGAAGTTCTACCACCTGTTCCTAAGTAGGCTGTATATTCATCACTCACAAAAGAAAGATGTTATAACAATCTGGAGAGCAAAATTTAGTGACTGAAGTAATGTTTCCCAATTCATAAAATCAGAAAAATTGAAATCCTAAACAACCTACCACAACATATATAAAAGTTCACTTATCGAAAAAACCTACTTAGAAACTAGAAAAATAGGAAATAATATGAAAATAAAGAAGCTAAGGAAGAAAACTTGTTGAAAGTAAAGAAATGAAATAAAATTAAATAAAAATAGGAAGGTATGTTTGGTTTGATGGATGTTTGTTTTTGCGGAAAGCTTTGGTCCCGTGATATGGAATCCTGCAATTCACTGGTCACCGTAGTTCCATTCGTTGTTTCCAATAAGCTCCCTCATCAATTATGCTATTAACTTATTTCCTTTATTTAAATTATATTGGATGTAATATTAATTTATGTGGAGAGCACAAAGAAGATTGTAGTGATTGAAGAATATTTTGAAATTGTCAATAAGATAGAATTAAATGATGTTAAGTGTGATAATTCTTTTGAAGATAATGAAAACAAATGATGAGTCCACTATGGATCTTGATTCTTATAGAATAAAAAAAATTTAATAGAATGCTTACTGAAAAATCTTATTTTAAACTTTTTTTTTATATCAACATTTAAGATTAACATTTATGGTTTGTGTCTTTATGGCAATGAACTAAATCGATATATCAATAATTTAATCATCATTATGAATTATTCTTAATTTTACTAGTTTTTTTCAAATTTGAGCTTTACGCCTCCATCCATCTTGTGGAATATGCCTTACCTCGCTAAGGCAAAACACATTGATTTTTGATTTCACCTTTTTAAACCATGGCTTTAAATGAAGAATGACTTAGAGAGATAAATGAGGTATAAAGATGGCTAAAATTATTTAGAAGTCAGCTCATTGTCTGCATATAAGTTTCACTTTAATTGCATATGTCAAATGTTTTTATTATTGGGGATGTTGAACGTTAAATTTGTTGATCCTCACATATGATTAGCTTTTTGTGCTATTTTTTGTTTCAGTTGTTGAGCATATCTTGTAGTCTTAGGGGTTTTGAGGACCATCTCGCCATGAAATATAATTTATTTTTTAATATGCTTGATTTTCTATATGAGCATTTAGAACATTATTTTTTATTTATTTAAAGATTGATTTTGAAATTTAGACCAAACATTGAACTGAAAGAAAGGACGATTCAAAGGTATATTTGAGATTTAGTCGAAGGTTGAATCAGCTAACATAATAAATATTAAAATTTTATAAATATTACTTAAACTACTCAATAAATATTAGAGTTATGTTGGAGTTAATATTGTAGAATAATTTTTATGTTGAGCTTCATTTTGACTTGCACTCTTTACAATCGTTTGTAAATAGTTATATATTATAGTTTACATATTAAAGATCTTGATTATATTTTTTGTGGTGTTCTTCAATTCGTTTTCCTTAATATTCTCACACAACCATAAATTATACACAAGTTAATCTGCTTACACAACCAATCAAGATTGGAAGTTGAGCGGTTACTAGGGTTAGGACTTAGATTTTATTAATATTAAAGTTTTATCGAGTTTAAATTGTTTCTATGTAATCATGTGATTAAAATAAATGATGATAAATTATTTATGATATAAATCCGACAGTTGAATAAAATTGTAACTTGTTCTTAACTTCGTCATTTTATTTATTTGTTCTTGATGTCCTGAGGAAATATCATTTTGAATATGGAAAGAAATGGTTTGAAGACCAGTTCCCGATTGTACTAGTCATGCTCACCATACCAATTGGTTCAGTCTGATTTTCTCAACTTTATGTTTAAGTATATTGAGTTTATCATACTAAAGAGTAACTTCTAGCTGTTACTCTTGTTGATTAAAATAAGGAAGTGCCTTAGTAGTGTTATTGGTGATTAGGTTTAGCATGTTAGAAATGTGAGTGCTAAGATGAATATATTATTTGCGGAAAAACTAATGATGACAAATTAGTTAATGATTATATTATAAAAATGCTAGGAATGATATCCGTTGAAGATAAGTTGAAAATAAGTTTGATTGATTTGGATATATTAAACAAAGGGTTGTAAAGAAACCCTTTAGTTAGGTAAATTAAATTAATGTTGAGGATAAGGAAAATCAATGAACTTAAGGTTACATTATCCATAGTGTTGATTACGAGTGTGCTTGCAAACTAATATTTTCTTTGTGTAACACTACCATTTTTTTTTATTTTGTGAATTTACTTTTTTGGCTTACGTGTTTATGAAATTTTGTTTGTTTTTGTACTATTTAGGCTGGGAATATACTAATTGATGCTAATGGAGCTGTTAAGCTGGCAGACTTCGGTGTGGCAGCTTGTATGTTTGACACTGGGGATAGGCAGCGGGCACGAAATACATTTGTGGGGACTCCATGCTGGTGCATTTTTAGATCCAAAATTTTCTCCCATATAATGCCCTAGAATATTAATTTTTGTTATTATATCCTGTTATGCTGACATGGACATATATATTTATTCTTCTTTGCTAACATTTGGTAATTTACATTATTTTAACAGGATGGCTCCAGAAGTCATGCAACAGTTACATGGCTATGATTTCAAGTAGGTGGCTGGCCCTATCATAGCTCAAGCCTTTAACAGTGCTATCCTTTTCATGATTTATTGATTGATTTTTGTTTTAATTTGCTTTAAAAAATTCTTTATTGTTTCCTAATGTTTTATTTCTAAAACAGAGCTGATATTTGGTCATTTGGCATAACAGCTTTAGAACTTGCTCACGGACATGCACCTTTTTCTAAGTATCCTCCAATGAAGGTTTGCCTTAATAGAAATAAAAATTGATTTTTTTTTTTTTTTAATTTTTACGCCAATTCTAGGTACTTGAACGCTTAATAATATGAATAGTTTGGATCACTGTAGGTATTGCTTATGACTTTACAAAATGCACCGCCGGGTCTTGATTATGAAAGGGACAAGAAGTTTTCTAAGGTATCTCATATTATATGTAGGGTTAGTTTTTGAGGGTAATCAAACATCACTCATTTTTTGAGGATGGTGGTGGTATAGCAACTAGAGCACTTGCTTGACAGTAAATATGCAATTATTTACTTTCTTCTCTAACAGTGTTGTTCTTTGCAGTCTTTTAAAGAGATGGTTTCTGCATGCTTAGTGAAGGATCCAAAGAAGCGACCCACTTCAGAAAAGCTTATGAAGCATCATTTCTTCAAACATGGCCGTTCAAATGAATATCTTGCACGAACTATTCTTGACGGCCTTCCTCCACTTGCAGATCGTTTTAGGGCATTAAAGGTTTAAATTGTCATTGCTTGTAATTGAAATCTCATTACAATTTACACACATTTGTGCTTTGTTTTTTGTTTTTAAATATCTTCTTCTTTGTTTAGGAAAGAGAGGGTGACATTCTTCTGAATAGGGTTGATGATGATAAAGAGCAACTTTCACAGGTAAATTGTATTTATGGGCACTGGAAAATTAAAGGTCCACCAAGCATTGCACATCTCTTTTTTCATTCTGACATCAAAATGAATGCTAAACTAGCCTAACTTATTTATAAATTACTTGTGAATGGAGTGTTTATTGTTCTAATCTAAGTCTTGTAATGAGGCAAATCTGATCCATTATGTACCAAATCTAATATTCTTGGCACTTGGCATGCCAAATGAGTGCCAAATTATTTAAGCTGTAGTTCATCCTTTCTGAGGTGAAGTATAAGGTGTAATTTTCTAGCAATTTTAAACTATCTGTTCACATAAATATTTGACTGTGGATTTGTATTTGCTAATAGTTTCTGTATATCAATTAATTTCTCAAAAAACTTATCTGCTATCTTTTTGTTTTGACTCTCTTCTATTCATCATGTACACACCTGTTTGCTCCAAGACTATTTTTCCATCCTATCTATACTCAAAACTGTAACGTTTACTAGTATATGAAGAGTTGTAGGATGCCTTGCACCTTTTCCTCTTTGCTTTTGCATTCTTAATATTTGGCTATTTCATTCTCATGAAATCTCAAGTAATAAACAGCGTTGTTTGTGGAAGCCAGAGGATCAAACTGAAGAAGCCACTATCAACCAATGAATATTTCTACAGCTTTGCATAAAAATTTTCATCAGCATAAGAGGCTGCAAGCGGAGGAATCATAGGAGTAGTCAGACAGAAATCACTGCTGAAATGACGAGTCCGATAGAATCAGTACTGAAATTGATAGGAACATTATAATGGAAATCGAACCAGCTTTAGGATCATGTAACCAGTTGCAAGACTAAGCAGCCGTAACAGAACAAAAAGAAGATGAGATCATGGCCACAGTAATGAGATAGATCATATGCATGTAAATATAAATTCTCATTAACTCAATTAGATGATTACAACTGAAGTTTAAAGTACACAACTTACAATTTAAATATATAAAACTTAGAATCTCAAATTGATTGTCTAATACAAAAATTTTGCATGTTCAATTGTTGTACAACATGAGATATGCATCACAACCATGTGCATATCACGACTAATGCATGAGTATTCACATAATGTTTTTCGGTATAGAGTTTCATTGAATGAGATGAGATGTCCTGAAATCATGATATGGATTTTGATAGTGATGGCAAAAGCTAAAATGTTCTATGTATTTAGTTTATAATGTGAAAGGAGGCTCAAGAAAATGAGTTCACCGTGGCAAGGTTTAATATGCTTTGGCTGTGTAACAAAACTAGTAAAAAGTATAAACTGTGGAATGAGTACATTTGATCACAATCTATGGAGATTTTAATGGAAAATAGATGAAATGGTTTAAGCTCTTGCATGAAAAATTGAAGAACTAAATATAGGTGTAGACAATTAAGTACAGTGTGCACCAGAGGTAACCAAACCACAATAAAAACGGAAATTTTATTGTTGAAATTCAAATAGGTTACAACGACGATTCTTCAAAACAAGAAATAAACGATAGCAAACCTAAAAGGACACCCTAGGGCAACGACGAAGGGGATGAATGGTGGTAGGTATGAAGTGGTGGTGACCAGGTTGGTTGGAAGGTGGTTTGGCAGTGACTGGGAGACAAAGGGAAAGGTTGCGGTGGTTGTTAGGGAATCTGCGGTGGCTTGGCGGCCCTCCTACATGGGTAGGAGGGGTTGGAAGGATAGCTGGGTGTTTGGGATGGGATGTGGCACTATAAGTGAGAAGATTGGAGTGGAAGCACAACAAATGAGAAGATGGGATGAGTGGCGACACGAAAGGGAGGAGATAGGAGTAACGACACAACAAGGAGAAGAGGGGAGGAGTGATGACACAACAAGGAAGGTTGGGGTGGCTTGTGGTTGTAGGTTAGGCGGTGGGAAATGAGGGATGCGGTAGCAGGTTGAACAATTGGAGGTTGACTACATTGGAAGTTCGGGAAGGTTGGTGCGCTGAGGGTGGCAATAGCAGGCAAGGGAGGAGGGGTTGGTGGTGGAAACAGGGCAGCAAGACTGTGGAGGGGAGCTGGGAAAGATAAGGGTCCTCGCGGGATTGAGTTACAGCTGGAGCACCTCTCGAACCTTTCAAGAATATCACCATATTGGACGAGTTACAGCCGGAGCACCTTATCGCCTTTGGATACAACCCTTGAAGGAAAAGCCACCACCGACGGCTAGCTTAGACAGAAACTCGACAATACTAACCCTAAACAAAGCAAATGACCATTTATAATAGTGGATAAGTAAGCAGGGGGAAGCCCCTTCCTTGGGCGGTAAAAACAGTCCCACATATGGTCGGTCACAAGCTGAAACAACCACCCCCCCGAACCCCCCCCCCCCCCCCCCACCCCCCCAAGCCCTGTGTCACAGTGGGAGCATTTTAAAGAGCGTGTTAACATTTGATGTGATTTGTGAATTTTTATCATACTTATATTGTGCTATGCAGTCTGCAACAATTTAATACCTTATTATGCTTTCTTAGGTTTATAGTTCAGATTGTCTATTTATTTCCAAGTTTTTTGCTTTGTTTGTGCTTTGGACTTTGAAGAAGATAATGCCTTTGAGCGTCATATTGCACTATGCATTTTGACAACACTAAAATTTTAAATGTGCTTGGTCTTCTGGACTTCTGTATCATTGTTAGAAATGAATAAATTATAGAACTAAAACTTTAAAGAGAGGATTTTTTGTCCTCGCTCTGGTGGTTTTCTTTTGTTTGTTGTATTCCTTTCTTTAACTTTTATTATTTTTATGGTCCGTTTGGGGCAGCTGCAGCTAATTGAATAATTTGCTGATAACCTGATTAAAAATAATCTGCTAATAAGTTAGATGAAATGACTATTACAAATTTTTATTTTTTTTGAAAAGTCAGTCCGCTGCCAGAAAGTTCCTACCGCACCTAGATAGGTGCGGTGTGAAAACACTATTTTCGGCGTTTTAAAAACGCATAAGCTTCCAAAATGCAGTTTACCCAAACAGGCCAGGTGAGTTTTCAGAATGCCACCGCACCAAATAAGCTGCCCTAAACGGACCCTAAAATTTTGCACTCCTTACGATTGATTTGAAGTCTTGCTTTAAAGAAATGATTAAAGTTCATGTGGTGTTGCAGCGTGAATACATCCGCGGTATCAGTGCTTGGAATTTTAATCTTGAAGACTTGAAATCCCAGGCAGCCCTTGTTAGTATCCTAAATAATTTTTATTTAACTGTTTATTATATTAGAAATAATGTGTACTGAATAAAGTTACTTGCAGATCCAAGATGACGCACCCAATTTAGAACAATCAGATGTGAATCATGATACTAATTATAAAGATGGCAATTTTGAGATGATAGATTCTGCACAGCAGATTGGTTCCCAGGAAACAGATGATATTGCTAACATTGTCACATCAAGGAAGGTACAGAGGAAAATAAAGTAGTTCCAGGGCATATAATTCGATCTTTTGAAGGATTTTAGTTCTTAGTGTTTGATTAATATTAGTTTGATGACCATTAAGGTTGTCTCTTACTTTTTCTGTGTTAGGAAGAGCTCCAAGATCTTCAAGATATTGATGGTCTACTCAGCGCTGCCTTTCCTATTCATCCTCTTAAAGCGCTTGAGTAAGCTATAATGTTCCCATGTTCGCTTCAAGATCTGTGTTCGCTTCAAGATTTGTGGTTTTAGTTAGTTAATTCATTTTTTTCTTTCAATTTAAGTTGATGAGGTGACTTTTCATGCAGCATAAAGGTTGAAAATGGTTAATTGAACCTGCTTTGTTAAATGCAGAGGAATTGTTCGTGATATATTTTTTTCTAAATCCTGGCAATAATATTTTATATTTGATTGGTAATCTATTTATTCTGTAGAGGCTGTTTTGATGTTTATGGGGATGAGTTCAAAGATGCTAGTCCCAAGGGCCAGGTTGCTGTGCCGTCTGATTCAGAGTTACTATTCCCTATGCATCAGGGATCACATGAAGTCAATTCAGAAAGTAAAATGACCAGTGGAAATAGTTTAGAAAGCAGCAGTTCTTTTAACAAACATTTGGAAGTTCCTGGACGACAGAAAACTTTTAGTGGTTCTCTTTTACCAGAACACGCTCCTTCGCCTGCTAGGAATTGTGCTTTACCTACTGAGAGGTAAATATATTGCCCTGTAATCAGGCATTTTCGTTAAGAATTTAGTTTTTATGATTCAAATTTCTGTTTAAGGGGAGATGAAAAGCTACATGGCTTTTTTATCTTTCTCTTTAGTTACTGAGCTTTTATAATGTTTTTGAGGACCTTATAACTTGAACGGATTAGGAACTACAAATTAGTACATATTATTGTAGTCAAATTTTTATATTTGAAACTAGAAAATTTGCCTCGGTTAATTTCTTGTATGTGATTTAGCATTCTTTCACTGCCGTTTTTTTGTCATTTTTGTAACTATATAAGCTCTGGTTGCATTCTCAAATAATTGACTATCAGAAATTGATGATATGATTTTCCTTTAAAGTTTGAATTTTGCAAAAAAAAATGTGAAACTATTCTAAAAAAAATATTTTGTTGAGCAAGTTTTGCAGTGTTGTGGGTAGTCCTGTTGCAATCTGTTGTGATGAAGAAAAGGTACCTCGCTGAACTGCATAACTTGGGTAAGGTTGGATCTCTATTGTGGTCGGGCTTGCCAACTTTCCTTTATGGGTTATCCAGTGCATGTATGCTCTTGCACTCACATGGCACAGAGCATGAATGTGTGCGTGGGTGTGCATGCATGGAGTAGGTATAATTTTGTTTTTCACGTTTGTATCAAACTGAATCCTATAAATTTCCAAGGAAATATCAATCACAATCAAATTATAGCACATGCTCTGACATTCTGCGCAGTTGTTTATGACCTTCCAATATTTAGTTTGGGTTACCGATTTTTCGGAAATTTTATTAGCTTGATCTTTGATAAAATATTTAGTGTAGCATAATATGTTTATAGGATTTTTCTGTTTATTTTTCTTTTTCTCGTTTGGTTGATGAGTTTGTTCTCTACTTTAAAATTCTCTAATAATCTACGACTCTTTTATTGTGAACTTCATATCGGAGTTGATTTATGAATTTTTTTATTATCATCAAGTTCTTTTAATTAAATTTCAGGGATGAATCACCCCAGAAGCATGATTGTGAAAGGAATTACAGTGGCCCCTTATTAAGTCGTTATTCCCCCAACAATTCATCTGGTGTAGATTCATTTTGTTACTTCTTCATGTTCTAATAATGTAAAGTACTTTTGTTTATAGTTTATTTTAAAATGCTGATAATAAATTTTCCTGGAAACAATAATGCCATGGTTATGAAGTGAATTTAAATGATGAATCATCAAAGGGACGAGTTTTTCAACGTAAGGGGCGTTTCAAGGTTACTTCATCAGATGTTGGAAATAAGGTATGCATCATGACACAACTCAAATGCTTAAACAATGTATTTTCTCCATTGGCTGACTGGTGGTTCATAGAAAGGACTTGGGCAAATCAAAGTAGCTTTTTTTTAGTATTGATTTTAATCGTCCTCTATGGCTCTAGTTGTTGTAGGGGCTGTGGGGGCTGTGGGGGCTGTGCGCATGACTAATCTAAATGCCTAGCGGATTGTAACCCAAATAAAAGCTTTAGGTAAGGACTGAAAAGAGGCTCAATTAACGTCTTATACTTTGTGCTAGTGTCATAAAGGGGTGATTCTTTTGATTAAAATGCACATAAATTTGTTCCAGTAACTCCATTCATGGTGGGTTATGTATATAATTGAAATTCATCAAAGCATGAGTGTAAAGGGTATTTATCTAACATTAATTTCACCATATATAGTTTTAATTCAAGAAGAATAAATATTCTAACTCATACAATAAAAATATTAGATTTATTTATGTACATGAAACATGTTATTTTATCTACTTAAGCAGGAAATAAGAACTTCAATTTACCATAAAATAGAATGTGTAATTACCCACCTTAGTTTCCTCTTAGGAAGTTAACTTTAATGAAAATATTGGCTTTTGTTAACTTGTTTACCCCACTTATCTGTTTCACCTAACATATAGTTTAAGATGTTAATTTTAGACATTCTTTTTTATCATATTCAGTTTTAGAAATAAAATTTAATATTTCACTTTTTCAACTTAAATTATAGATCTTCTATATTATTGTATATCTCAATTTCTCTCTTTCTTTCCTAGCGCAACAAACAACCACCTCATTCTCTTAGTTTGTATCTTTATTAAATTTCAAATTTCTGACGTAATTTTTTTAAAGTGAAACTGTTATGTAAACAAAGTTTTAAACTGAAATGTTTTAAATTTTTAGAGAAAGAAAAAACATTCGGGTTTGATATCACTCAAAAAGTCCACTCAGTTTCTTTAATCAATTCGTTTGCTCTTGCTCGGCTTACTCTCTTTCTTTGTCACTGTAATGCTCAATGTCACTTGGCTTGCACGCCTGCTTGTTCCTCGATTTACCCTTCTTTTACCATTCATTTTGCTGGTTGATAGTTTCGATTGCCTAGCTTAACTGCTGTTCTGTCTGCCGCATGCTATGCTAGTCTCCTGTCTTCCATCATCTTGCTCCCCTCCTTGTTCTCTCTTTTTTTGGGATGAATCTTGCTTGTGCCCCTTCTGTCCCTTATTATTGAAACGACTAACATGTTTGATTCAACTGGCACTAGTAGGTTCAAATAATTTTTTTAATATAAAAACAAGCTTTAATTGAATGTTGGGTGGTAAGAAACTGGCTTCTTTTGAATGCTTTCTTCAACAGGAGAATATTTATTTTGTAATCAAAACCTATTTTTTTTTATTGTAGGATGAGTAGATTGGCAAATGGGTATATTAGATAAATTGTTTGGGTTGTGCTAAATAGTGGTGATAATGCTAATGATTATGGTATCAGAAATATTATATTCCTTAAATTTTCAACATTATTTAGGCTCTTTCTAACTTTGAAAAGACCTTCAGGCCATGTAATCAGTTCATGAAAACAACCTTTTGCGATGTTAATGGTAAGGTTGTGTAGCCTCTTCCAGACCAGAAACTGGTTGGAGCCCCATGCACTTGATATGTCCTTTTATACATATATTGCTGTGGAAATTTTTGTTTTTTAATATTTGTTAGTTTTAGGACCAGACATTATCTAAATAATTTTGTGTAAATCAATTAAAAGTGTAGCTTACGCTATAAAATCAATTAAAACCAAAGCAATTTATGCAAGGGAAGCTAGTCTGGGACAAATTTTTATTCCTTTTGCTTTATTTTCTCTTGAGGACAGAATGTCTAATGTGTAGGAGTATCTAAAACAAACTAGAATCCAGATAAAAATCTAAGATTCATAAATTATTTAAGTTGAGATTTACAGGCCGTTTGGGGTGGCGGTTTTACTGTGGTGTGGTTCGGAATAGCGGTTTGGGTTGTTTGGGTTCTGCTGTTGCGGGGGCATTTTGATAAATTCAATTGAAACGCGGGTCGCAAGTTTGACCCCGCTGCCCGCATTTCTTTTGATTTTATTTTACGTGGCTGTCCTTTTGTGTTCCTTCCGCAACTACCCTCTTGTCTTTTGTGGCTCCCTCGACGTGACTATTGCACTAGTTTCTCTTCTCTCGATCCCCTTGGATTTGTGGCTCTGGCTTTAGGCGTTGTTTCCGATTGCCTCTTGTCAGTTGCGGGTGGTTGTTCGTGACTTTAACATATTTATCTCTCTTCTCTCTTTTCTTCTGCTTGATTTAGTGGTTTTGTGTACTCTGTGCTATGTGCGGTGGTTCCCCTTCTTCGGTTGGTGGTTATTGCGGTGAGCTTTCTATTCTTTCTTTCCTTGTCCCTTATCTTCTTCGGCTCAGTTCGGTGGTTGTGCGCATTATGCGCTCTGTGCAATAGTCCTTCTACCTCTCTCCTCTGTACTGGTAATCTTTGACATATCTATTAGGTGGCTTTATGATTTTGCAAATGCTAATGTGCAGTGGTTCTAAATTTGGTTGTTGGTTTCTTCTCCTCTGATTTCTCTCTTTTCTCGATTTGGTGGTTTTCAGTCTGATATGCTTGGTTGATGATTTTGATGCTTCATGTTGCATCCATGATGAATTTAATTTAGTTTATGATTTTTAGTTTATGATTTTGATATGCTCGGTTGTGATACTTATCAACCGAGCATATCATGGATGATTTAGATTCTTTATATTTCATACATAAACTCGGTTGTGATATGCTTTATATTGCACCATGATGTTTGATTTGATGCTTCATGTTGCATCCATGATGCTCAATTTTATGCTTTATACTTTATGTTGCATCCATGTTTAAGCTTCCTCAGTTATGTGGCTTTATACTTTATGATGCTTGGTTTGCATCATACAAATGCTTTATACTTCGGTTGTGATATGTTTGGTAGTGGTGGTGGTGTTTGCATTTAAACATTTGAAACACAAATGGCGGTGTGATGTTTGTGAATGTGCAGGTGTGTAGGTGCTTGTCAGAATTTTGGTTGAGGTGTTAGTGTTATTGGTGTGTGTGTGTGTGTGTGTGTTGGTGTGTGATGTGTGATGTGTGATGTGTGATGTGTACAAGTGTGTGGTGTGTGGTGGTGTGATGTGTGGATGTATGGTGTATTCCATGTTGGCTCTTAGGGTTTTGTATGACTTGGGCAGGTGTGTGATAAATGGTGTGTGGATGTGTGGACATGTGGTGTGTGGATGTGTGGTGTGTAGATGTGTATGTGTTGGTAGATATGTTTGTTTGTGGGTGAGGTGATAGTGGATGTGTTTGTGTGTGGGTGTTGCTGATGGTAGATGTGTTCATTTGTGGAAAGACATTGTTGATGATTTGTGGCATTATTTTTTTGTAGCTCTCGGGGTTTATGCTAATTATTTTTTTTCATTCTAGTTTCGCAATGGTTCAAACCAAAGAGTCTGGTTCATCTACGATACGGGATAAGGATACAAAGATAATATTTTGCGTCTTTCCCTCGGGGTCAATTGAGAAATAGGTCGACAACTTAATTCAAAAAGAAGAGTGATAAAATATTATTAGAAAATTCAAGGAAAGTACAGACAGAGAATATGATAGGATGTTATTAAAAAACAAGTGTGATCAGCTAAATAATGATTGAAGAATCTGTAAGGAATTGAAGCGAGGATCAACAGGCTTTGGGTGGGATTCAGTAAAGTGAACTATTGATGCTTCCAATGCGTGGTGGGCAGAGAGACTGACGGTAAGCATTTTTGAAATGTTCCTTGTTATTGTCAATTTTTAAATTGTTTTCAATTACACCATGTTATATGAATTTGTAGGTGGTGTCTGCTACGAAAAAATTTAAATGTAATGGAATCGTTCATGAGTTGAAGGAGAAGTTGGATTGTATGTTTGGAGGTGTCATGACGAGCAATAATGCATGTGCCTCCAATGAAGTGGGGTTTGGTGGCATCCCTGGAAATTTGGGAGCTGTTCAAACAAGTGATTCCAATGAAGGCTATATCCCAAATCTTCATGAAGTTGAGTTCAAGAGCAGGTTAAGGCATCCCTGGGTTGAAATAAAAAAGTGGGAGCTACTTTTTTTAGAAGTCAAATATCACAGTTGGTGGTTTCATGCACCAATGGTCCCAACCCATCACAAGAAACTTTGGTCCAACAGGTTATGCAAATTCTGGAGGCAACTCCAGAAATTTACAATGTTATGCTGTTATATTTGTTTTCTATGAAGTTGCTTGAAGATTCGACCTGGAGAGTTTTTCATGACGATGACTGCTGACTGTATGGTGGTTTATCTACGTTATTTTCATGACAGCAGTGACGTTTGAAGGACACTTTTTTCTATTGACATTTCATATTTGCTATTTGTTTATTTACTTCGAACATTTTTATTTGCTTATGATTTTTCATATTACTTTGGATATTTATGTTGCTTTGGACATGTCATTTAAGATTTTTTCATCCATCGTTTATATTTTTTATTTACTGTTGTCATGTTAGTTCTTTTTATAGGGCTCTCTTTGTGGATATGCTTCCAAAGCATTTTCGAGCCAATATCGTTTCAAACGTAATGTCAAAATACATAGATGCAACTAAAGAAAAGCGCAGAAGGAGATTTATTATTGTAGTATGTTTGATGTACGATTATTATAACTCGTACATAGAGCGCTCCCCTTGCATAACATCCTCATATATTGGCGACAAATGGGTTGGGGAGTTGCTTGCGGGCCAACCAACAAGATTTAACAATACGTTCTAAATGACACAGATGATATTCACCAATCTCTTAGAAGAACTACACAGAAATCATGAAGTTCATGGCTCATTCAGAATGACTTTACGATAGGTGTTATCAATAATCATCTACATATTATCGCAACATGAATCATTGTGTGGAGTTATGGAGCAATTCTAGCACTTTCGAAACAATTTGCAGATACTTTTTAGTAGATTTGAATGCACGTCAATTTTTCTTCTCAAGTCTTAAATCCCACTGATCCTACATTGGAATGGACCCCCACAGAGATTTTACACGATGCACAGTATATGTATATTTTAAAGTAATTTTTATTTATTACATTCAATTCTCATATGATATCGTAATTACGCGTCCTTCATTATATTTTTAGAATTGTTATGGAGCAATCGATAAAACACACATTGATACATGTGTTCCAAATAATTAGAAGATCGCATTCATCGACCATTTTGGGTCCCCGAGCAACATTTTATGACGGTATGCAACTTCAACATGTGTTTTAATTTTGTCATGGCCGGTTGTGAGAGCAGTGCACATGACAATCGAATTTTCAAATCTGCAACACGGAATAATAAATACAACTGCCCACATCTACCTACAAGTTCGCTTGAAACTCAGTTACTCTCCTAATAGAGGAGGAATATGCCGTGAGAACCATATGAAGGGTACGTTGTTGGACATGAGAGGTCGATGGACTCGCAGAGATTTGATTGGCTCCAAAAAAATTGATCAATTGCTCCATATGGTGTTTTATAAATTTAGAGGAATCTGGGTTGTTCTGGGTAGGAGTCGGTTGAGTTGCGCCTTGTTTGGGCTTCAACGTGTGCCCCTTGACAGTAGAGGATTTGGTCGAAGGTTTGTATGTCGGCTTACCGTGAAGTGTCCAACACTTGTTCCGGGTGTGGTTGGGTTTGTGACAGGAATTACAAGCGGGATAAGAACTATTTATGATCAAAGCGGACGACTCAGCTGAATTTGTGGAAGTTTCGAGCATAACAAGTCTTCAGCTTTCTTCCCGACGAATCTCAGTAAAAGTAGCTCAAGCGGAAAGAAGAGGATCCCTACCAAGAATACAACCTCTAACTTCGTCAAGATCTTTGTTTAGACTAGGATGAAATTAGAACATACAATACTTTTTACGATCTTCTAGAAGTGGGATAAGTCGGCGGGAGAATCCCAAGTGTAGTCGTAGTACAAATAGCATTCCGTCCATAAAACAACTAGGTCATTATAGTACTGGGTCACTGTTCTATACTTCTGCTTTGACTCATGGATCTTCAAAGATACTTCATAGAGTTGATCAAAATTTTCTACATCCGAATAGGTATCACGAACAACCGTCTAAAGAGCACTAGCAGAAGGAAGGAGCCTGTACGAGCGCCAGTTGAAGTCTCTATGGAGTTGATCAGTCGTGACATGACCATGAAGTTTTGCACTTCCCAAGCTCCATATGATGGGTCAGTCTTTGGAGGCTCACGAATCATATCTGTGAGGTGACCAAACTTTTAACTTCCTTTGATGAACAAAGACACCGCTGGAGATCATTGGAGGAAGTTAGTCTCGTTCAACTTATGAGTTGCGATCAAGAAATTTATATTGGCTTTCAATTCTCTGGTCTGCAAGGGAGCGGAGGTTGGAGTCGATCCTCCGGTGGAGTCAAAAATGTCTTTTGAGAGGTGATTAATTGAAGGAATCGACCATAATTTCTACTGAGCCAAAGGATATGTTGTTTTGGTTCTGAGCCATTGATGAATTTTGGTAGAATCACGACAAACGAGTACAACAATACAAATTGTAGGTAGAAGGACAACTCCCGGGATACTTTCAACAGAACAGCGGAAAGATCTTTTGTTCCCTGGAGATGGAGCGGCAAAATCATTTCCAGGAAGTAGAAGTCCTCTAGCAGACAACAACATGAGAAATCTGGCAGGTGAAATATGGCGGCAGATCTTCTATTCGTTAGACCCTGGAGTAAGAGCGGCAGATCTTCTGTTCCCTGGAGGAAGAGCAGCAGAATTCTGTGGATAGGCACTGATCTTCTGCGACATAACAGAGAGAAACCTGCGAACTGAGCCAAGACAAATTCTTCTGGAATTTCTGCAGTTCGGATGCCGGCTAGGAGAAGAAGGTGAGGCAGAGGCTGCTGGAATCGGATGTTGGGGGCTGCTGGATCTATGTTTACGCTTTGATACCATGTTGAATTTGGAATAGACCAGATAATTTCATTGATAGGAGGGTTATCTAAACCCAATTACAATAGGCATAATAAAAACAAAATAAAATAACTAGGAAAGAAATTAAAACAGACTAAAACAAAAGAGGAAAAATCTAATTAGAGAATAAAATCAAGTAATAAGTTATAATGGCGTAGGGATAGTCATTATAATCTAATATATTTATATTTCTATTATGATTTGGGTTAACACTGGTATCAGTGTTTAAACGCAACATAAATTAGCTCAGAAAAAAAAAAAAGGAAGGCAGGAAGGCACACAAATTCTTTTGAGACTTTTAACTTAATCTTTTATATTTGTTGCTTAGGTAGCTACATTGGTCGGCCCAGTAGCTGGTTTAACTGCGAGGGCTACTTTGGAGGCTGCTACATTTCTTCCAACTTTGCAATTTATATTGCAGCAAAATGTTGTTCAAAGGGTACGCATCAGAATGTTTCACCTGATTCATTTGATTTCATTTTGCGACCATTGTATCTTATTTTCTGTGCTGTTCAGGAACAAATAGTCAAATTGCTCAAGCTTGTGGAAGAATTTTCTGGTAGTTTTTTACTTTTGTTTTTTTTTTTCGCAATTTAATTTTGATGCACCTTTCTCCACAATTTCACTTGCCCTGATCATTTATTGTGTTATTTGGTACAGGTCATCATGCTGTGCCTTCTGGTATGAGCGGTGGTGAGTTATCACAGGTATGGTCTGCTTCTTCTGTCTTCGTTCTACAATTTTCAGCCTAGTCAATGTGTAAGCAAAATCATATTCTTGACTAGGGGATTATTTCTATTGTGAGGAGAAGTTTTTGTTATATCTCAGTGACTGAATATAAAGTTATATATATAAACAAAGTTGAAGACAAAAAAGAAAGATAATAATGAGAAGATTATCCTCAATTAGATATTGTAATAGTATTTTTTTTTTTTTTGATATAATACACTCATAAAATAACACTTCCTCTCAAATTAGAACACATATATCAATTAGCTCCAACTCATTATAAAGATTGGAAAAGCTAAAAGGTCCTGGTGACTTGACAAATATATCAGGTAATTGATCTTCATTGGAGAAGTGTGAAGTGATGATCTTTGTCGGTAGGATTGTTATCTTTGATAAAATGACACTATTATGTTTGGTTCTTTTTATAAGATGGAATTGTTTTTAATTTAGATTAACTACTTGATTATCACAATTAAGGATAATAGGCTGTGTTAAGGGAGTCCAACTCTTCTACTAGAGTTTCCCCAACAATATTTTCTAAGTTAAATGGGCAGTGGCCTTGCATTTAATTTTAGCATTAGATCTAGCTACATTACTTGGCTTTTTACATCTGCATGACATGAACTTTTCACCCATAAAGTTATAGCATCATGAATTAGATTTCAGATCCTTAGTAAATCCAATCTTGCCAGCATTTGAATTAGCAATCTTCTATTCTTAAATGATTTTATTTTTTATAAACTCATTTTTTTTCTAAAATATCAATCTTCATTATGGGTATATCTCAAAATTCTTAAAAATATCATCCACGTGTTTCTTCTTTAAGTTTTGCATATATTGACTTGTCATATAAACAATAAGGGATATGACTGGTTGTGCAATGGTTAGTTAGATAAGTCTGCCGACCAGACTTTAATAGCGAGAAGCGTCTTTGTAACTTTCTGTATTCATGGGTGAGTCAACTGATTTGCGCCAAAAAGATTAATTTTTTCAAGAAGTTTTATAGTATATCGTCTTTAAGAAAGTTAAATATCTTTGTTTCGATGTACAAGATCAATGTCAGGAATGTTTGGGAACACATTTTTCAATTTTATTTCTGTTTTTGATTTAAAATAAAACTTGTTTGGTATCATAAACACATGTTATTTTTTTATTGATTATTGTGTAAGTTAATTAATGTGGCCAGGTGTTGTGTGGCACTGCGAGGTTGTTGTGACCAGCAAGGGTGTTGAGCGATGGTGATCGATGCTAGTGGTGGTGGCGAAAATGATGGCCAGAGGCCAGTTGTGGCGACAACAATCGACCAGTTGGGGATGAAAATACTTAGAAAATACTAAATGTATTTTATGTATTCTCGATTATATTTATTTGTTTATGAAATAAAAATAAAAATGGTTAAAAATTTGACACGGGCTTATCACCATGGCAGAAGAAAATATTGCTTCCGGATAACAAACGTTCGTACGGTTGTGTGGTGCAATCCACATCATCGTCCGAACGTCCGGTTAACAAAATATAATATGTAGAATTTGGGAATAGAGCAGGATAATTTTATTGATATGAGTATGGATATATAAATACAAATTACATGACTCTAACATAAAAAATATATAAATAGGAAAGACATACAAATAGAAAATACATAAAACTGGAAGGCAATATATAAAATAGGAAATATTTGTAAAGGAAATAAATCAATGCTTATAACTTCTAACAGTCCCTCTCAAGCCGAAGCATAGAGTTCAATCATGTTCAACTTGGATTTGGACTCTTCAAACAACGGTTGAGAATGATTCTGTGTGAGAATATCTACTAGTTGTCCAATAGAAGGGATGAATGGAACACAAATTTTCCTAGAATCAAGCTTCTCTTTGATAAAATGACAGTCAATCTCCACATGCTTGATATAATCATATTGGACTGGATTATGAGCATTACTGATGTCGGTTTTATTGTCTCAAAACAGTTGTAGAGGAATGAAGACTGACTTAAGTAACTCTCAGAGCATGATGTGCAACTAGAGGGCTTCAAATACTTCTAGGGACAGATCGAAACACAACTTTTGCATTGGTACTGGCAACCAAGGATTAGTTTATACTCTTTCATGTGATTAGGTTTCCCCACACGAAGAAGCAATAACCCGAGGTAGATCGACAATCATGGATGGACCAGGCCTAATTGGCGTTCGTATGATCTGCAACAGAGTGAGACGTGTGATGAGAAAACAATAAATATGATCCCGGTGTACCTTAAGTAGTGGAGGATTCGATGTATAGCGGTGAGGTGGTGCTCGTAGGGATCATGCATGAACTGACTGATAATACCAACAGCGTGACAGTTTGGGCGCATATGGGCTAGGTAAATGCATTTCCACACTAGACGTCGGTGTTGTGTCTTGTTCACTGGAATTGCATTAGGAACAATTGTCAACTTCTCATTGGAATCCATTGGAACAACGATCGGTTTGCAATGAAGTAGCTATGTCTTAGTCAGTAAATCTCTCACATATTTGCGCTGGGAAAGGCTAATGCCCCGAGAGGATCGAGCTACTTCCATTCCTAGGAAATATCAGAGAGAACCCACCCAAGTCCTTTCTATTAAAAGATGCGGCAAAAATGCTTTTGTGAGATTCCAAATTCGGTCGATCATCACCTTTGAGTCTGATGCATTGACTTAGGGGATGGCAATCCGGTCGTCGGATGAGAGGCGGAAGAACATCGCATGATCATATTGGCCTGAGAGAAAGCATGTCCCACAACAACTTGTGTAAACTAGTCAAACTATGCTCGAAGGGATTGTTTTAATCCATAAATAGATTTTTGCAGCCGAAGCACTTGTCCACGGGAAGAGGTTGAGTCAAAGCCTGGTGGGAGAGACATATACATCTTCTCTGCAAGATCCCAGTTAAGGAAAATGTTATTGACATCCAATTGGTGTAATGGTCAATCCAGATTCACGGCAAGAGATAACAGAACCCGAATGGTTTTCAATTTAGCTATTGGAGCAAACAACTCCTCATTGTCAACTCCATAGGTTTGTGAATTGCCTTTGGTAACCAAACGCACTTTGTTGTGTTCATCTGAGGTAAATTTAGTGCTAAAAACCGCCGACAATCCTATGTTTTCTTTTATCGAGAAATATCAACAACATTTCATGTATGGTTTCACCGAAGTGCATTCATTTCATCCATTACTGTCGCCTTCTAGGAAGAGTTCGCCGACAATCATTTCATGTACGTTGTATTATGCAGCTTATTCTTTTTCGTAATTACTGAAAACCATCATCAATTGTAGCCACCTAAAAAGTTTTATTTTTCATTTTTATTTATTAAATTTTTTTTCTCCTGTATGCATTAATCTTATTCAAATTTGTTGGGAGTGCAGCCATCTCTAACGGCTATTAAGGAGCGGCAGCTACAGTCTTATATTCTTCAGCTGCAGCAACAGTAAATTATCAATATTTTTTGAAATTTCATTATTCCCAAAATATTTTATTTTCTTGAAGTTTTTGTTCAACTTATCTTTCTTTCCAGGGTTGATGATCTTGCTGATGAGCTACAAAGAATTAAATATAAGAATGCCCAGGTTGGTACCGAACTTTCATACATTGTGCTGTTATAATTTTGAAAATAAAATATTGTTTGGCCTTGCATTTGCATAGCTGCACTAATGAAACATCTATTAAAGCTTTTTTATTTCCCCAAATAACTGAAGTGTTTAGAAAATAAGTAACAATATTATTTCATAGACATCATTAAACCAATTATGCACAAGCTGATGAAAACTTTTGCTATTATTTTTGTTAAACAATAGAGGCACATCTCACTTATTTTACTAATAAAAAATTGGTCACAATACTAGTTTTTAGATTTGTACCAGTCATAAATAGGAGAGCAGCGCGTAGTAAGTCTGTGAATATTCAGATAAAGGAGAGTCTAGGCTAGACTCAAACCATGTTTTGTACCAAGTTTCAAAGTAAACCCCCTTCCTCTCTTGTTTCAGTTGGAACGGAAGATAAATTCTTTTCAGAAGGAGATGGTAATCAAAGAATGTGATGTTCAACCAGAAAGGGGGTGTTCTTAATACTCAACGCAGAATGAACACCAAATCCACTTTAGTTTTTTGTAGTAGGGCCTCAGCCACCTACGTTCATATTCTTTTATTTGAATACTCTCTGTACATTTGTAATGTGGCTTAGGAATGGGGGCACCCTTATAGGGGGCAATTTTTTTTCCCTTGTAAATGTTTATTATATATTTGTAATTTATTATTAATGAAATGGCTTTTGCTTTGTGCAGTTTTTTATGATCATTCTGGTCCCTTTGTATGTATATGTTTTTTGCCATTTTTAAGAAATAAATAATGTTTTTTACTGCTAGCAGATTGGCATATGCATAGAACATAAGAAGAATTCATTTGTTAAAGAAATTCAGATTGAACATTATAGTTTCATTTATTTATGTTTTTAGTGTCATTCTTTTATTAGTTTATTGTGGATCAAAGGTTTTAATGCTTTTTTTTTTTTGCAGCAAAAGAAATGCATTTAATTCTTTTTGTAGGAATTTTGAAAATTTTGGTATTTGGTACAAAGAAAAATAAATTTTCATTCTTCTAACTCAATTTTAATATATTTGAAAATCGTTAGATTTAAATGAATTTAAGTCTTTCTCTGTGCAAAATGTTGTCGCCGTTGTTTGTTGCACACAGCTCTCTTTATTTATCATTGACCACAGTTGGCGTTGATGCAACTAGAGGTGTAAACGAACCGAACACGAATGAACAGAGTTTGTGTTTGTGTTCGGTTTTTTTGAAATTTAGTTTGTTTGAAATAAACTCGTGTTCGAAATTATTTGTGAAGTCACTGTCCGTCGTTCGTTTCTTAACGAACGAGCCGAACACTAGTTGTTTGCTAAACATCCCTAATATTAATATATATGAATAATATATTATATTAATTATATAACTTATATTATATAAATATATAATTTCTATATTAGTATATTACTAATATAGTATATTAATATATTATATATTATAATTTATAAAATTTAAATTTTTTTAATATCATAAATTTTTTATATATAATTATTTTAAATTATTTTATATTTAGAACAATAATGATTTGAACACAAACAAACGCGTCATTGTTCGCGTTTGGTTCGTTTAATTAATTGAATGAAAAAATTTTGTTCATGTTCGTCTCGTTTACTTATCTAGCGAATCAAACACGAACTCATTGATAAATCGAACACAAACTATTTGCAAACAACGAGCTTTTTTTACAGCCTTAGATGCAACATGTTGGTAGCCTGTTAGTTGTCTACGCCAACGGATGTATTTCACATTGATTTCATGCTTTTTGTAGTCGTAGGGAAATTGCATATATAGTGCACTAAAATTTTGCTATTTACCAAATTAAGATTCTTCATTAGTTTTTAAAATTCTCACTTAATATCAAAATTCAGAATAAAATCTGAACATATTCTCATTTTTATTAATATCTTAATATTTTGATTATGACACATAAATGTGCGGATTCGGTGGTTCAAAAAATGACTTGGTTCTGTAAGTAACAAAAGTTTGAATGTTGTGCAGCAACTATACTTAAAATTTAAAATCTCGTATTTATTTCACTAATTCAAATAATTTTAATATTTCAAATAATCATATTGATGCTATCAAACTAAACAGTGGTGTAGAAATCAAGAGAACATTTATAAATTTTCACGATTATAAATGAGAATATGGTTATTGATGCAGCGGTAGGGTGACGAATTATCAAGTTAGCGTTGTACGAGAATTCAGCAAATACATAAATAAAAGAGAAATAAATAGTGCTGACTCCAGATGTTTTTATGTGGGAAAACCATAAATAGAAAAAATCATGACGTCTGACCCAGTTGTGAAAATCCACTATTGATTAATGATTACAGAAATCTCCTGTCCCGCAGAAGAAAAATTGTAACTATATTTTTCAGATTATAGTGTCGACTGCTGACATTTAGTTGATAGTGATTGATGGTGATTGATGGTGATTGATGGTGGTTAGCGATGGTCGACGACAATTAGCGGTGGTCGACGACGATTAGCGGAGGTCGGCGTTAGTCGATGAAAGTCACTGTGGTCGACGGTGGTTGACGGAAATCGACGGTGAATAGCGATGTTCGACTGCTGTCGGTAGTGGTCGACGACGGTCGGCGGTTGTCAATGGAGGTAGGCGGTGGTCGATCATGGTCGATGGTGATGTTGAGTTGCAGCTCCCTCTCAAAGCCTCAGACTCTCTCTAAGCTTAAGCTCTCCCTGATGAGAGGAGTGGGGTTCTATTTATAATGTTCTGGGTACAATTAATGCAGGAATATGAATCATTTTGGTTGAACGGTCTGATAGCACCCTTTAATCATACGGTGTTTAATGAAAATTTGAATGTCTTAATGATATCAGAATTGAGTGATTTTGAGCTCGTTGGATTCATCTTATCGAGATGTTCGATTTGACTATCAACTTGTGAGATTCGACATCTGTTTGACCTTTCAAATGTATTCAGGAATCTTTCAAAAGCAGTTAATGATTTGATCCGGGCTTGATTTGACTCGGATTAAACTAACGTTCCTCTCTTCGAGCCGGTCAGTTTGACTATAATTTTGTTGAACTCAGAGTTCTGGATGACTTTTTATCAAGGTTTGAGCATACCAATCTCAAAAAATTATCTTGAGCTCCGTGTCATACTTTGAATTTTTAAATCTTGAAAGTATAAATTTTGCAGAATGTATAAGAAAGATTACCTTTATGTTGGCAGTATAATGTGATTTAATCAGTCTTTTTCGTAAACACATGTATTAAACTTATTAATGCGCTGATGCAAGTTCTATCTATAAATGTATCTTGAGTTTTGGGCTTCTTAATATAGAGCATACGATTAATTGACATTTATGTATGAAAAATTTTGAAATCAGTACATCAATAACATTAATGATATTTAAATATTGGATGAAAATCATTTTGGGTGGAGAAAGACTATTTTCAACCTAAGTAATGAATAATCATCATCTAACTAATTAGAATACAGATAAATCCATTGTAATGTTATTAAAAGTGAAAAAAAAAAAAGAATTGATGCTCAGCCCACAGTTTTTCATTATTCGGCATGAATCTCGAGGTATGATACGGATCTTGAGCTAATATTTGAGCAAAAAACATTTAAATCTTGATAACAATTCATCCAGAGCTCCGATTTCAGCAAACCAAACTGCCCGGCTTGATGAGACAGACCAAATGATATCAAAGTTTGTCCAATCCGAGTCAAATCAAGCTCGGATAAAGTCATTAAACTGCTCTTGAAAGATTTCTGGAGATATTTGGAAGGCCAAACAGATGTCGAATCTATCAAGTTCATAGTTGAATTGAGTGTCTTGGCAAAACAAGTCCAAAGAGCCCAAGATCACTGAATTTCAATATTATTAAGACTTTCAAATGTTCATTAAATGTTGTATGATTTAAAAAAGCTTTATGGATTGTCCGATCAAAATGATTTATATTCTTGCATTAATTGCACACATAACACTATAAATAGAGTGTCACACCATCTCATGAAGTTGGGCTTGAGCCTTAAGATAAAACTTGAAGCTCTTAGAAGGAGCTGAAGTCCTGCACCATCCCGATCCTCGTTGACCACTGCAGATCGTCGTTGACCACTGCCAACGGCTGACCGTCGTCGACCACCACCAACCTCCGTTGACCACCACCGACTGCTGTCGATCACCACTGACCCGTCCACCACCGCCTACCGCAGTCCACCACCGCCTACCGCAGTCCACCACCGCCTACAGTCGTACACCACTGTAGACCGTCGCTTACCATTGTAGACACCCGTCGGCTGCTGTCAACCATTTCTGATTGTCATCGTGCACCATTAATTAGACGCAATCAGACGACACTATAACTTTGAAAAATCTAGTAACCCTTTCCCGTCTGTGAGACAAGAGATTTCTGTAATCATCAATAAAAAGTGGATTCTTACAACTGGGTCAGACCCCATGGATTTTTCCCTTTACGGGTTTTCCATGTAAAAACTTATGGTGTCAGCACTGCTTGTTTTTCTTTCACCGGAATGTGTGTTGAATTCTCGTGCAACTCTAAGACGATAATCTGGTACTCTACCACGGCGAATTTTCTAGAACGCATGAAGAATACTATCAATGTTGAATAGATATCAATGACTCTTGACTGAAAATTTTTTTAATTTTAGTTTTTATTTTTATTTTTATTTTATTTTTTTTTATTTTTGGTTTATCATTTTTTTTTGCATAGCAATCAAGGTTTTATCTTTTTTTACTGCATATTAATATCATTATTAGCGTGATTACATGATCAAGTACTTTTTAAGGATTTAATACTTCTATTTTCATCACAACTGCATCGGTTGAATTGTATTCAAATATTTGAACCTAAAACTTTTATATCTTCCATTTTATAATTATCTGTTTTGGTTTTCAAAATGTTGACTCCGACCAGCATTCCTGTTTTTGTTATATTTAAAAATTTATACAGATATAAACTTTTGAAAGGCTATTATATCTATGGAATTTGAACTTGTGGAAATGAGGAGAATACATAAGGCATATGGGCATTGTACTAATAGAGAAAATTAGTTGTTGAATGATATTTAATATTATCATAGCTATGATAATCCAAATGGTACAAAGAGTTATCAAGGCCATTGAAGAACTCTAAAACGTTGACCTTAGTGGGTATTTATTAATGGTCTAACCATAACGAGCTTAGGACATCCATAATGACCCCACACATTTTCCTCCTAATAACTCTAAATTAAAATAAATATAGCATTAGAGGGTTGTTTTGAGACTCAAAATTTGACTATATTATCTATCATGCATAAACATTATTTATTTTTGTTGGCTTTAAATTAAATTTTTTATTAAATTATAATAAATCTCAAGAAATTTAAATATTTTTTTGCACGTCGCTCTTTGTTGAAATTTCAATTGGAACGGACTCAAACTGAATTTGATTTATATTTTTTTTAAAAAAATCTATGTTAAATTTATTGAAAAAATGTGTTATATATAAATGAGTCAAAATGTACTTTAATGAATTGCCCACTAACACTTATATAAATATAGGTTTGACCCCATCACCACCCTAATTTAAGAACCACTTGAGCATAATCATGAGTTGGTGAGCTAAGAGCTTAAAGAGAATAACTTATTAGGTTTGAACCATTCATCTTGTAATGTAACATCACTTGGAAATAATCTTGAAAGGGATTACTATTCCTAGACTTTATCTTGAGA